GACACACACACACACACACGCTTACACATACGCATGCATGCACGCATAGACGGAGCCAGCAGCTGCGGGAGGCTGTTACACTCGCACGCATTCGTGCACCCACAGGAACAACACACACATGCACACACTCACACACCCTTTGCCAAACTCTTAGGCTGTGGACCACACATACACAGTTAAAATGCTCACACATTCCTCTACTTTTCAATTTCTCACATACTTTCATTAAAAGGCTGTTTTTTCCCCTTTTTTAATACTTGCTTTTGATATTGTATGTAAACATTCCTAAAGTTTCAAAATGTGACATTCACTCTCCAGTCCAAAAGTCCATATGTGGAATCTAAATAGCAAAACGTCCCCTTTTGAATTAATTGTTGTTGTGATGTGACTGAAACCAGAGCATTTACATATATCCACCTATTTAGCCTTTAGCAGCCCCGCACATTCTCGCTGAAGTTATAATAATGCCCTCATAGGAAAGTCTGTCCACTCTGTGGCCATGTTGGTGAATGTCCCTGGGCAGTTATTTCCAATCACAAGACCAGTCTCCTATCTCTTTGGATGGGAAGAGACCTATAATTCCAAAACTGAAAGCCGTTTCAGAACCATCACTGGTAAAATCAAATCAAAATCACATAAATAGTGTATAGAGTTTTGCTTACAGTTCGTGTTTTTCATCATGTTCTGCCCACTGTGCATGCTCCTGTTTCCACAAGGAGGGAGGGCTTTCCCCACTTGTGGCTTTACAGGCAAGCCGATCAACTCTTTTTATTGAAAGTTACAGATGGGATGTTGAGCGTTATGAGCTTTCCTATTCATTTTCCATCCAGTGAACTGTCTCTTCTTCCTTTATGATGTCAGTAGTTATAGGGAGTGTTTCAGCCCAAACTGCTTTTTGCATTAGGTACAGTACAGGATAGCCAATTGGAACAAAGGTCATATCAATCTATCTATCTACAACCCCATTTCCAAAAAAGTTGGGACGCTGTGCAAAATGCAAGTAAAAACAAAATTCAATGATGTGCAAATCATTTAAACCCTATATTTCATTGAAAATGCTTCAAAGACAACATATCAAAGGTTGAAACTGAGAAATTTTATTGTTTTTTGAAAAATATATGCCAATTCCGAATTTGATACCAACAACACATTCCCAAAAAAGTTGGGCCAGGGGCATGTTTACCACTGTGTTTCATCACCTCTTCTTTTAACAGCACTCTGTAAGCATTTGGGAACTGAGGAAACCAAATGATGGAGTTTTGAAAGTGAAATGTTTTTGCATTTTTGCTTAACATAGGATTTCAGCTGCTCATCAGTTCAGGGTCTCCTTTGCAGTATTTTTCATTTTATAATGTGCCAAAGGTTTTAAGTGGGTGACAGATCTGGACTGCAGGCAGGCCAGTTTAGCGCCCAGACTCTTTTAATATGGAGTAATGCCGTCGTAATACGTGCAGAATGTGGTTTGACATTGTCTTGCTGAAATAAACAAGGCCTTCCCTGAAAAAGACGTTGTCTGGATGACAGCATATCTTGCCAAAACATGTATATATCGTTCAGCATTAATGGTTCCTTCACAGATTTGCCAGTCACCCATACCATGTGCACTAATGCACCCCTATACCATCATGAATACTGGCATTAGAACTGTGCACTGATAACAAGCTGAGTGGTCTTTATCCCGGAGGACACGGTGTCCATGATTTCCAAAAAGAAATTCAAATGTTGATTCGTCAGACCACAGGACACTTCTCCACTTCCTCTCAGTCCATTTTAAATGAGCTCGGGCCCAGAGAAGGTGGCAGCATTCTTGGATCCTGTTTATATATCCTTTCTTCTTTGCATTAAGAGTTTTAATTAGCATTTGTGGATGCAGCGACAAACTGTTTTTATAGACAGTGTTTTTCAGAAGTGTTTTTCAGAAGTGAGTCCATGCAGTGATTTCCACTACAGAATCATGGCCATTTTTAATGCGGTGCCATCTCAGGGCCCAAAGATCACAGCCAGCAAATACTGGTTTTTGGTCTTGTCCCTTGCATACAGAGATTTCTCCAGATTCTCTGAATCTTCTAATGTTATTATGCACCATAGATGATGAAAAGCAAAAGTTCTTTGCTATTTTATGTTGAGAAACTTTATTCTTGAACTGTTGCACTATTTGATCGTGCATTCTTTCAAAGAGTAGTGAACCCCTCCTTATCTTTACTTCTGAAAGACTCAGCCTTTCTGCAATGCTCATTTTATACCCAATCATGTTACTGAGCTGTTGCCAATCAACCACCAGGTGTTTTTTTAAGCATTACACAACTTTACCAGTCTTTTGTTGCCCCGTCCCAACTTTTTTGGATTGTGTTGCTGGCATCAAATTCAAAATGGGCATATATTTTTCAAAAAACAATGAAATTTCTCAGTTTCAACATCTGATTTTTTGCATTTTCAATGAAATATAGGGTTTAAATGATTTTCACATTATTGCATTTTTCACAGCGTCCCAACTTTTTTGGAAATTGGAAATATCTTGATAATAATAATAATAATAATAATAATAATAATTTTTATTTATATAGCACTTTTCATGCCAGTGACAGCTCAAACTGCCTTACAGACAGGTGATAAAGCTTAACAGTAATACAAGAAATTATAAGTATTAATTTAGAAAGATATAAGAAAATGACACAGATCAAATTAAAAGATAAATACCATGAGACAGAGTTTTAATTAAAAGCTAAGTTAAAGAGATACGTTTTTAGATGCTGCTTAAAAGTGAGCACTAAGCTTGACTGTCTAATAAAAGGTGGAATTAAGTTCCACAGTTTAGAGGCATAATAACTGAACGAGGCCTCTTCACATTTTCTGTAATTTACAGAAGGTATTTGCAGAAGCCTGTATCTGCAGATCTAAGATCACGTGTTGGAACGTAAAGACACAGAAAGAGTATTTTTAAATCTTATTGATAAAGAGGGGTTGGAAATTTCTCATGTAAAATTAATTGCATTAATTGTAAATTAATTAATGACTGTTTTTGGTACATCAAACTAATCATGATTCTTTTTGGTACATCAAAAGCAAACCCCTCCTCTGAACTCTTAAATACAGATCTGTAGATCAGTGTGTGACAGGGCTAAAGTGGTGAGGCAGCCACTGAGTGTTACATAACGAAACCTAATCATGTGCATTGAAGAGCGTAATTCATACAGACACTTTATAGGACGTACATATACACACTCGATGAAGTTATGCTACCCAGCATTGCTGCAAAGAATAGCTAAGTTTTAAGGCTAATGTAAAGCCTGTACCTTCCTGATATGTGAAGCACTATATGGATGAGTGAATGGCTGAAATAGCTGCAGTGTATCTAAGTGTCCAGCAGGAGGCATTTTCACAAAACATAAAAAATGAGCTGTGTGTAATGCCTAATAACACACACCGGATGGTGCTAGTTCAGCTTCTGCAGTAGTCCGGTTCTCAGGTCAGTCTGTCTTTTGCAGTGAAAGACAACACAGCGGAAAGTGTTGAGATTAACACAGTACAAGCTGAAGAGAGAAGTATGAAGCTATCATTGATACATAACTCAAACTGTCTAACATGCAAAACAGAGGGATGTTGTGGGTAAAGCCTATATGTAAAGATGAACTAAAAACCCTGAAAAAAGAACTGAGATGGAATTGTACCAGTAGTTTACCATGACCCGTAAAAGACTGTGCTTTTAGAGACAGAAAAAAGGGTGGTCTCTTTTTTTACAAGTGTGGTCTGGGTAAAGTCTGCCAGGTCATAAAGATTCCAGTCTGGGACTGTTTAGCACATGGGGGGAAAAAAAGAAGTTTCGAAGAGATGATCTTATTGAGTCAAAGAGAGATAATAGAGTGAAACATTTGTATCAAATACAATGAAAAGTATTAGTCAGACTCCAAACTGAAAAAGAAGTGAGAGAATCCACGATGCCAGGGCCATTAAACTGACAAAGAAGAAATGACAAACCCATGCTGCCAGTACTAACCACCATCTGCAGATGCTAACACACTGTTTAGTCATATAGAGTGATGAGCACTTTATAGGTTACGTACTAGTTGAATAACATATAAACCTACCTGCTGCTGTAGGCAGCAGTGGACTAGTCTGGGACTAGTTAATATGTAAATACTTCATGAGATGAAATCAGTTGCACTGTCAGATTTGAAGGTCTCAGTTTTGATGCTCAATATGGCCAAGCACCACCTATGTTAACAGGAAAGGGAAATTTGATTGACGTGCAGTCCAATCACAAACTGTTGTTTTGCATATTGTGAAAGGACATTGTTAAAATGGTGCTCATGGAAAAATGACATGCCAATTAGTAAACATATGAGATATTTTGTTCACTTGCTACTAACTGCTTTGAACAAAACTGTTGAATAACTTGTAAAGATGTAATTTTTTTCAATCCAGTGTTTATATCTTGCTCTGAAAGACTTGTTGGTGACTGTGTGTGTCAGGTAGCTGCTTACTACTAATGACTGGCTAACATTTATCTTCATAAACAAAAGTTTTTTTCCCATCAGATTGATAGATCTGGTGCACAGGATAATCTTGAGAACTGTGATTCATATATACGTGGTCATTTTTTTAAATCACGTGCACTGTAAATCAGATGGTCCATTTAACTTTGTGAATAGAGCTTCTGAACCTGAGAATAACATGAAATACCCACCTCAAAACGCAAGCATCTTCTACTAGGATAGATAAAGACTGAGATAAAGTTAACAATAAGAAGTTAACGGTTGAAACGGAATAGTTGTGCAAACCTAAGTGTACATACACACACAGTCAGAATTTGATCCATAGCTCCTCACCTCTGTTATCATGACGCTTGGGAGGCTCATATGGGTAGGAGCCTGTTTATAACTGACAGCAGGCTGGAAACAATGATGTGATCGCTTACTATCATATAGACTGAACTATGTTAACAAAATGAACACACAGACTGCTGCACACACACAGTCTTAATTTAAACATTAGCACCTCACCTCTGTTAGTGTGAGGCTCAGGAGGCTCATGTGGGCGGAGCCTGCTTGCGATTGACAGCGGGTTGCTCTTCTCCTGCATGTCCTGTGGGCCGAAACTGTGCAGGATGCTGGCTGTCTTGGGGATGGCCCTAATGTGTGGCCGGTAACAGATGGAGGACAGAGGGGCCGAGGCATTCACTTCTGCGTCCTCTTCTGCCTTTCTGACCTGAGGAAGGAAAGAAGGGTCTACAGTGAATTTGGCTACAGTGGGAATGAAGAATAAGAGCAAAACATATTTCCAGAGAAGTGTTTATTTAGTAAAGGACAGGGCTTAAAAATGGAAGGCATTTATTTGGGAAACGGTAGCCTTTAGGGGTAAATCTGGGGTTAGGGCTTAAGGCTTTGGGCTTTGGAGTTTCTCATGTTATCAGTGAAAGCCAGGGGGTCTTAAGTGTCCATCTTCCATCTTTAATCCACTGCTTTCTCAATCAACGATCATAGAAAATCTCTCTTGCACCTTGCCTCTTTTTCCTTCCTGTACTTTCTCTCTTGCTGCATGACACAACAACAGTTCTTCAAGTAGGGTCTGAAATTAGTCTCTTTGAATAATTTTCAAGTGAAAAAATGGCCAAAGTTGCGCACTTTCAAAGCAACAAGCATGGAACATGAGAACCTGTACTCTTACAAATGAAGGTTGCTAAATGGCCTGGATGTATGTTTTTTTTAACTGGTATAGAAACTCTACATTAGAAGTTCTTTAAAGGAATAGTTTGGCAAAAAAAATATAAATTTTACACAAATTACCCTCTTACCCACCTGTGGTCAATCAGCCAAATAATACTGGTGTTCAAATTTTGCCTCTTTAGTTTAGCACTGGACTCATGAGGCTAACATTGCTAACAAATACTACAAGTCAACAGTCACCCAAATATTTTCCATGAAAAACATGCCCAGAACTTCTCTTAACCAGCTCAAACAGCATCCAGGTCTTCATTAGACTTTGTTAGTCACATAGACTTGTAGAAGTGGTTTAGGACACAGTATGAATGTGAACTATAAAAAGACTTAACTGTGTTGCTGAACATTCACTGAGTCACTGAAGATGTGTTTATAAACAGAAACAACAGAAATCGCAAACATAATCTGGCATCCATATGCCTGTGTGCCACTCATAAACGTGGAGTTGGATTCTGTGGAGGAGTTGGAATTCTGGACAATACCTGTTCTCTGAAGTAGCTGCCCGCTGCGTTCAGCTACATGGAGAAGTTTTGTTCACCAAATGTTTTTCACCAAAATATTCCTTTAAACTCTAAAGGTTAAAAAGGTTTTTCACTCCAGCACATCTCATTTACAACAGTTCTTTAAAAAATCATTCACTGAAACGTTCTTTAGGAAACCAAAAGTGGTTCTCCTTTTTGGCATCTTTATTTTTAAGTGTACCTCACATCCTAGGTATAAAGAGCCTTTATGGCGTTGTGGGGTCGGAGCCATGTGATGATGCTGGTGTGTGTGTGTGTGTGTGTTAGAGAGAAAGAGGAGCTGCCCCTGCCCTCCGGAGACGATCCCCCAATCCCATCCATCTGCGACTGACACGTCCTCCGTCTCTGACGCTTTAATTCCCTGATCAACTTTATCAACCATCTGCTCCAGGGGAACCCGGGAAGCCGGGTCTGGCCGTGCATGGTGCTCGCGCACTCCTCCAGCAGAGCACACACTCTCTCTCCTCATGCAGTCTCCCGCATTAGCCTCACACTGCGGCCATCTCTCTATTAGTGCCCCTCGCTCTCTCAGCTTTCACTACGTAACGTTTGTGAACACTTGAATTTTCTAACACATCTCCCCTACAAGTAAAAAGAATACCTCTTTGTTGCATTGATACTAAACTAAACGAGTTGGCACATATTAGGTACCTTGTATCTACGCTCACTGGCCATTCTACCAGAAACACCTACCAAATAGGTGCACTTGGAAGGTTTACAGTTACCCATGGGCTATCACTATCCTATCTGCACTGTCAGTTGCACCACAGTTTATCAGCACCCACCATAGGACCACCACTGACCAGATATTATCAGGATAGTGCGTGTTGCACTGCTATGAGAGAATCAGGCACAAGGGCATTGCTGGGATTTTTAAACACTGTGTACATTTACTAACTTTAACTTTAATAGACACCTATCTTGTCGGCATACTTGTAAGTGTACGGCAAGAGAGTGAAATCTTTTACCATGCACAGTTTGTGTTGATCATCTGCTTCTTCAGTGGCCAGTTTCTGACCGCAAAACCAACGTACATTTTGGATGGTGGACTGTTCTGAACCCAGCATTGACATTGAGAAGTCTTAAAACCCTAGAAACACTGCTGTACCTGACAGACTCATACCAGCACCACACACACTAACACGTCATTTTCATGTTTGGTGTCACTGCTGTGCTGAGAATGATCCACCACCCAAGTAATACCTGCTCAGTAGCGGTCCTTTGGGGGTCCTTTTCACTGAAGGAGAGGCAGAGGGTGACTGACAAGTTTTAGAAACAGAGATGTACATAGGTGAAATATTTATGGTTAAAAATAATAGTAAAATAATATTGCTGATATTTGTCCGATTAAATGTTTGGCTACTAATAATAACTACATCTAATAGAACAGCCAATAAGTGGTGGTACAAGGCAAGAAAGGCTCCTCCACTTTAGCCATTAAGCACTGCTTAATAAAAATAAAATGCATACAATGGACCTAAATACCCTACATATTTTCTCCTTGTCATAGTGCTTGATACCCAAACTTGACCACCAGCTGCCTGCCTGTCTACCTCAGTCTATCTAATAAACTAGCAACGCTGTGTATAACACACACACATGCATATATGCACACACTCTTTAGGCCATTTCGGGGGCTGTGCAGCGCTCAGCTGTTGAGGCTGTAGGAGCAGGAGTAAGGACAGAGACAGGTGTGTGTGGCGTGTTGGGGAGGGAGAGAGGAGAGATCTGAGGAGGAGTGCCAGAGGACAGCTGCTGTGCTGACCTCCACGGCCCCCCCCAGCCATCAGAGAGAGAGGAGCCAGCAGACATTCTGCAGAGGCTATTCCTACACACACACAGGAGACTGGACACAGCCTTAGAATCTGACCCCTACTCTTCAGTGCAGCTAGAGAGCGAAGGAGAAAGAGATAGATAGAGGGATTACAGAGAGAGAGAGAGAGAGAGAGAGAGAGAGAGAGATGCCAGCATCTGAAGTGTTAATGCAAAGTACTTTGCATAGCTAAAAACAGCAGTGGCTGCAGCTTGAAGCTGGAATGTCGTCCATACTATTGCCCGTTTATATTGATAACAATATGTCATACATGATCAGAAACCACATAAAGTCTATTTGGGAGTGTGATTTAGGCATGCATTAGATACATAGGTGGTTACAAGCTTCCATTTCTTGTTAGCTGCATACCTTCATGACTCAGCACAAACATCTTGGCTAGTGAACTACATTTTGGGTATTGGGAAATTGTGTAATTTTCACTTACACTTTCTACAGGAGATGCCGGCTTCTGTTCGCATGCTGGTACCTAAAGACAGAGCAGACAGTTCAGTGAAAATAAACACTTGATTGAAGGAAAAAAAATACAGTTGCAATACCAAAACCTACCTGTGGAGGGGGCAGTGTCCTCACTTCTTCACTCTTCTCCTGTAAACACACAAGAGCTCAGATCATACAGAGCATTCACTCATCTCCTCCTTAATTACATGATACCTGTTAGCCACTTTACTCCTATATACTAAAAGGCATAAAACAACACTAAATGAGGTGAAGCACAACAATATATAGAAGGATGTATAAGCATATGAATTATATAAATTTGAGTTTTTAGCATTAGTGGCAGTAATCATTAACTGGAGGCCTGGCTGCGGCTCATGTTTGTGCAGATGTTTGTGTTGGGAGTGCGAGCGATCACGGTGTGACCAAGCTGGCCAGCCTACGTCCACCCTGGTGAGCGCTCCCTGTGCACGGCGTTGCCATGGCAACCCTAGTGAGAATCTTCCCCCTCACATTAGTATAGCGTGAAAGGGAAGGGGACGAGAACTCCCCCTCACGCACACATCAAGCACGGGTCCTGGATAACACGTTGTAACCTACAGTCTCTCTTGCTGTCTCTCGCACCTTTTACTTTCTCACGCATACGTTCACACTTATACATACACATCACTTGTGGCCACCTCCACCAAGTACAGCACATCAGCGCTGTATTCTCTCAGCTAGCTTTCATAGGTGAGAGATCAAGACTGTTAGCACAAAGCATTTGTCCTGGCCTACATGAAGCCTGGTCACACACACATGCACACACACACACACACACACACACACACACACACACACACTCTGACACTGATACATGAAGAGAGAGAGAGAGTGAGCTCTAAAGAACAGTAGTATGAGAGAAAAGGTGAGCCAGTGAGAAAAGAAAGGTGCAGGTGGGAGGAAGTGGGAGGTTTTCCAGAGAATGAAAAAGAATAATGGAGGAGAGCGGGGAATGAGAAAAGGAGGAATGGCAAGAGGAAAGAGTGGAAAGACAGAGAGATAGAGGTTGTGATTTATTTGGCTGTTGAGCGATGGCTCTCCCCATGGAGAAAGTCCGTCTCACTGCCCCTCGGCTCTGTCCCAGATTAATGACAGCAACAGGAAGGTCACCTACACACTCTCTCTCTCTCTCTCTCTCTCTCTCACACACACACACAAATACAGTTGCACCTAAATGCACGCAGAAGCACACACAGGTATACAGATGGACACATGCATACACACACTGATGCACTAATATCAAGGTAAACACCAAATGTATGAAAACACACACAAACACACACACACACACACACACACACACACACTTACTAAATGTAGAGCAGCCGTCCACAGTATTAAAAGAATGCAAAAGGACCATTAAGGCAGAAGTGCTAGATGCTAATGCTAGCTTGGTTGAAAATAAGCAGTCCTCTGTTGCTCTTTTCATTTTCCAAAGATTTCGACAAAGTGAGTCCCTCACTGCTGCTGCACAAACTCCCCTCAACTGGTTTTAACCAAACTTCTTACAGCTACTTTAAGAGTTATGCTACTGCTGGGACCAATTGCATCACAGAAAGAAACGTGCATTCAGAGCCATTAAAACCTGCTAATGGAGTCCCTGTACTTGGTCTGCTTTCATCTAGCTTCTGTATAAATATTTTTGCCTGTTGAAAGGCTCTGGAATATTTAGGTAATTTCTTTTATATTAACCTTATTGCTTATAAACCTTGAAGACAATTTATTCCAGATTCCTTAACAGGATAGGGAAACGTAATTAAATAACAGTTTTGTTTCCAGTGTTTCCTGTAAAAAACTTTTTGATGGGGGCAACCTGCAACTTTTCTCCTTCCATAACTGTTTTCCCAGCCAGCCAGACAAAAAAAGTGTTTTAAAATGATGCCCTCTTTAATAAATGGTGAATTTAACATGTTTAGGCTCATGGTACAACCCTTCATGCACAGCACTTGGCATATTAAATAGCCACAATAATTTTAACATGATGAAAATGATTGGATGGTCCGAAAATACTCCTGAATGAGGGAACGACAATGTTTTGTGCCACAGTGCCAAATTAAATACTTACAGATTCTAGTAAGCAACTTCGTCATCTGGATTGACAAAATAATCTTTGAAAAACATAGAGCTGAATGACAGGAAGAACTAAATGGGCTTTTCATTGGAGAATAAAACAACATTTATTAGTTAGACATTAATCATAGGCACATTACACACATGAATGTAGCACCAACAGCAAAGAATCTCTAAATTACTTTGTCTGCACTTTATAATGGAGTATCTTCTCAAACATTGGTCTGAGGTGTATGAGAAAGCAGGTTGATCAACAACTTGAAAAAGGCTGCTTAGCTTTCAGATTATTAATCAAATGTAAGTGCACAATTACCATCACACTTATCATCACTTCTGACACATATAACGCAAGTTGTCACAAGCGCACAAGCTTGAGATTCCTAAACTGAGCTTGTTAATATAGCTTTCACCTCATATTCCACAGGCTGGTGGCATGAGGCTCTGAAATGTTTAAAGCTCCAGATTCTGGATTCAGTTTTGCTCTTTGCTGCTTTGTGAAATTGTTTTAATGTGCATTTGACATGTATTTCAGTAATCTTACAAAATGATTATTATCCTTATTTTTTGTTGTACTTTAGTTTATATACATTTTCTGCTGTGTCTATATCCAGTGCTGCACTGAAACAAAGCATTGACCTCAGCTAGACAAACACTGAGGCTCTCTCTCACTTACCTTTAAATTAAACTGTGCTCCTGACAGTGTTTTGGGCGGAAGATTCTCTCTCCCACATCGCACCGGCTCTGTGGACGTTCTGTTTACAAGATTACTCTTCAAACTACCTGCCTGGTTGCTGCAGAACATGTCAGAAAGAAGATCACAGACATTAAACAAAAAGAAAATAACAAAACAGTACAATTTTCTTCATGTATTCTCTATGGTATGCTCCCAGAGAAACTACCTTTCAAGGTACACATGCTGTCACTGTGGTGGTACTCTCAAGGGAACGTCTTTAGTTAGGGAACATAACTGTTCCATTCCTGTTTCTTTGGGGTGTATACATAGACTATTTATTTTTGTTTGTCTAAAAAAGTAATGAAATGGTACAAATAAGCACTTTTCACCAGGCAAAGTGAATATAGTGTACCTTAAAACTCATTTAAGCTACATAGTTAGGCCTTAAGGACCATGTTGTACCTTTAAGTGTAAATTTACACTGTTTGTATGTAGGAAGACTACAGTGTGCCTGGACAATGTCTAGTTTTCTGGTATAAATGTTACCAAATCACTGTAACCTGTTCCCAAAGAAGCATTTTTAACATCAGAACCAAATGAAATGAATGTGTCCATACCATGAATTGTTAAGAAGACTAGCTGCTTTTCTCTCGCCAAGCCCTGAATAGAGGATTTTGGAGGACTTGAACTCGTCCATCTCTCCAATGATGATGACCTGCACATCTCCATCACGCCCCAGCAGCCAACTCACAGTCTTACTGTGAGCTAGAGAGAGAGAGAGAAAGAGAGAGAGAGAGAGATACTCTGTAATGGCTGGTTTAAGTGTTTAGTTGTGATAAGAGCATAAATGTATATTATTTTCTCAAAACTTAGAGCAATAGAAAAAACAATATATTCAGTGGACAAAAACACAGGGTGTAAAAATACTTAGTTCAACAGTTTGACACAAATAAATCAAAGTTCAGTTTCGGGAAGTGTGACGAGTACATAAGAGAAGAGGTTTGGCAGCAAACAAGAGAAGCCATAATGAACTGGTTCTTCTTGCACGCTTTGTGGTAAAGAGACAACATTCCAGCTCAGCAGGCAGGCTGACATGCCCTAGACCATCAAGAAATGACAGCCCTGTCAAAACAAGTAGGCTGGCGATCAAACAGTGAAACATTCACGATCAACTGATTTTTGAGAATGTCCTTAATTGCCTACCCACACTAGTAGTTAAATTAATTAGCTGCACAGTAATTGAGTGGAGGGGTGGTTCTCCTAAGTTTAGCAATGCATTTCTTTATGAATTAAGAAAGCAAGTTTTACAACACTATTATTAACAAAATATTAAGTGCAGTATAAAAATGTTCGGTTCCATTGATTGAATTTGAATGGGTAATGCCACAAATATGCCAACATAGTAACAATTAAACTTGGAGAGCAGAAACACACTGGCTTTAAAGTAGCATATTGACCCCCAGTTAGGTCAAGTAAACTATAAAACAGATGTCTGTCTTCAAGTATGTGACATATAGGTAAAGAGAAACAAGGCAAACTGGGACATTAAAAACTGGGACAACAGATCTGTGAAGTTGTATCGTCATTCTGTAGTCGTCATCACACCCATGTCAGGAATTCTGTGTCTAAGCAGATTTCTGCATTTTCCCCCTGGAGTTCCTTATAAGAGCATGGAAGATATAAACAGAGTGATGACAACTTGAGATTTATGTTGGTTAACTTTTCAAATATATTTTCCCCAGAATAATTTAACAGTTAACAAATACATAATTTGGTTAGTAAAATGTCCAAACAACTGGGGTTCCCTTTAGGTTTAGTATTATCCTGCTGTAGCTTCTTTACATAGCCTACCATGCTCACTGACAACATTAGTACAATATAAGATTAGCCCAGCTCATATTAAATATTTTACTATTCTGTCAATACAGGTGTGTTAATTCTAATTCTAATATTTTTCTTTGTGCCTTAAACACATTAATGTTTCATTCCTCTCGTCTCTTGCTAGGTTAGGTCAATAAAGCAGTAAGCCACATGTGTTGCAGTACGATGGAAAGCAGAGTGTTAAAATCTAACATAACGGGCAAAAATTCTTTTGTTAACAGCACAACGGCTAATACGGAGTTTTACAATGTGGCACAGCAAACCAGATTTTAGAGCTATCCATGTTAGCAGCAGCACTGGGCCACCCAGTCAGTTACAGGGGGTTTTGTTTCCAGCTGAAGGTTTTATTCTCAGTAGCGATAGCTCATTAAATGTGAATTCCCCTAAAACATTGTCACATGTTATGCCAGTATCACTTTGACTCTGTAGTAATGACTGATCTACACTATAGTGCCCTTGGCAGACATTGCTCGATGCTTATTGGTTATCTCAGAACAGTAGAACAGCACAAAATAATTTCAGTCTGGTTTCCTGTAGCCACAAACACAAGCCGACTGCAATGCACATCCAGTCGTAACATTTCAAGATTAACCGTTGTTTTCATTCAAATCTGTTCTCTTTTTTTCTTTTTGCTTTCTCTTTCTCTCTCTCTCTCTCTCCCTTTTCTCCTCAGTTGGTTCTGAGCACATGCGCTTCCCGTGCACTTCCTGCTTTGCTGGCAGTTGATTGTTTAAGGGAATGGAACACAGCCTGGGAAATACTTCCTGCCTAGCTCCTAAAAGTAGGCCAGACCAGTTGCTGCCTCAGACTAGTTTGTTGTGAAACCTCCTGAAATTTCCCTCAATCAGGCAGAACTTCTAATATAACACAAGTTTTTGATTTGACTGTAGCTTCACTTCACATACTTTTGTAAGATATTGTATGGCATCTATGTTAACAGTCTAGAATCTGTCAAAGTAATCTCTGTTGTGTCTGAGGATATTGTATCAGTGTGTTGTAGAGAAACCACTGACCAGCTGAGGAACAGCTGCGGATGTCTCAGAGAGATAGAGGCCTCTCTGTTCTCCGGCGAGGCCCGAAAAAGCCCTTGATAATAACTGCTTTGTTACTGTGAAAAGGCTTCTCCCTGGACTGACACAAGCTACGAGTGACCTATAGCTATCAGAGCTCTCCTGTTGGAATCTTTCATGGCGCTTAGTAGCGCTGCTGTCTGCGGTCTGTGAGTCTTCTGACCCCATTATTGCAAGTTTTTCCACAAAGCCCTCTCACAACTTCCATAGAAATGCTGACAGGCCAGATTCTGCATTCTCCAAATGTCAAGCCAGTTTAAGATGTGTACACACGTGCTCCTTTAGCCTAGTCTCCATATGCATCCAATGTACAGTGCTAACCTAAAGTCAGTGTTTCTCTCTGGTCTGTCTTTCTTTAGCACTTTCTCTTTCACTCACTCTCAGACACATTCCACTCGTATCTCGTCAGCATGCTTGGCCCTCCCTGATTAGGGCAGCTGTCCCCCACATGGGGGTCTCATATCTGGGGCAAAGCTCACTTTAAGTCATTAAGAAAGAGGTGAGGTTTCCTAACACTCCATTTCACAAAAAACATACTGTATGTTTATCTTTAAATCTATAGCACGTCTAAGCTGTTGCTAGATTACAAATCACATGGTTGGTAGTGTTGGAATGACTTTTGAGCTTATGGCCGAAGTGATAATCTTACTAAGGTAAGCACTGAGACAAAGACTATAGCTTTACATTTTCATCATGAAGACACAGGCTGAACTATTGGCAGCATTAGTTGGTTATTCTCACTTTTTCTTGAAACAGTATTCTGTCTGTGGCTTCATCGCCACGCTGTTATGATCAACACTCATCACCATGACACAGGATGTGCCTCCCACAGGTAAACCACACTATCAGCTGAACACTTCACCACAGACTGACTCATTTACTGCATTAAGACGATTACCATATTTAGCCCTGGCAGCTTCAGAAGAAGCAAGAGCAGCCCTGCCCGGTAAAGGCCGTGCTGATGTGAGTTTTGTTTCACTCTGACATAAAAGAGTGTGTTCTGACAAGATGGTGAAGGTGTGTTTGGCACTGATGCACGACAAATGCTTTTGCTAAAACTTTCACTCTGTGATTAGAAGCTGGTGGTGCAGCAAGCAGCCGAGCACTGAGGCCTGAGAAAGTATGGCAGGAAAAAGTTGTGGTTAGTTGCAGTTCTGAAATTGTGATGAGCTGCTAATGAGCAAGTTAACCTCTTGAGCTAGTTAACCTCTTGCGCTAGTTAACCCTGTGCTAATTATTCAGTTATTTGTATTAAATGGCCTATATCCAAATTTTTTCTTGTGTTGTATAACATTTGTGTGGTTTTATGTATTGAAAACAGTCACAATTCCTGTTTACAGGACCATTTTCCAGTCTCTCTTTATCCTTTGGAATTGTGACTGTGCCTTTAAGACATATGACATTGTAAATAAGTGTTCTGACTGGCTACCCTGTATTGTGCTTCATTCAAAAATCAGTCTGTGCTAAATCACCCTGTTTAACGTCACTGAGCAGGGCTAAACTGCTGTAGGCTGAAGGCATGGATATAGGTAAACATGCTGTTTTCATAGTTTCATAGTTTCAGTTAATTAACTCAATGCTCATACCTTATTAAGCAACATCCAGAGTGAACTAAGTGTTTTCTACAGCACTTTTATTTCTGCATCTTTCGCACATCATTTATTGCTATGACATCCAGCTAGTGCTTCAATAAGCCAATCTGATGAATCTCAGTCTAACAGGTTGGATATTGAGTAGAGGCTATGTTGATATTAAGCATAGTTTATGCAGAACTCATGTTCAAATCAGGGTTATGCACCAGAAGCTAACACATTCTTAGTACAACTTTAGAATAGAGTCAGTAGGTCTTTATTTAGAGTTCACAGGTGATTCCTTTGAGGTACTGAAAGGAAGCAATGCTGAGGTAAAGGTTTTGTAAAAGATGTTGTTAATACAAATACAAAAGTGCTGCTGAAAATGCATAATTCATTCTACTTATTGCTTCATAATGAGCAGACAGTTAAGCAGCTACTTCAAAAATGATATTTTTTAAAACAAAAACAACAATAGTGCTTTTAAAGTACTTATCTGAGGTCAATTAAACCAGTTCAATTGCTTGCTACCTCATGATGTAATTCTTATTTAAAATTACCCTTTTTTACAGTGTATTTGTTTTACAGTGTATATGTAGACAAATGGCTCTCTAACTCCTGAATATCCAGCGGGAAACCCTCAGGGCGTTCTAGGCCTGGCGCCGGCATCCGAAACCACAGAGGGGACGGGGGTATCAACAGGAGAGCCACGTTTACAGCAAATCATCAAATGTCAACCTATTTAAGAAATCTGTTGTCTTCCCACAACATACCTATAATGCAGCCAATACAGAGTGATGCATTTCTATGTTAATGGATGTAGCCAGAATGCTCTGCAAACAGAGCCAGAGAAAGTTTATTTTTGCTTTGTTTTTTGCCTCCTGCTGCTATAGAAGTATGTACAAAAAGTAGTGGGCTTAGTTGGGCATGATGAACCACTGATTTTAGGCCTGAGCCTACTAGGCCTGCCAGAAGACCTACTGGTTTCTGTGATATATAAAAAAAATGCTGCAATAAAGTTTACAAATCTGTAATTAATTTAATATAATCATCATGCTTGTTGTATCTAAACTCTGCAAGTATTATGGTAATACTTTTATTGAATTAGGAAGTTTTGATAGAAAACAAGAAGGTTAGATTATTGAGGTGCTTAAAGGAAAATTATCAGCCATGTGAGCTCTCTCATTGGTTAGAGATGAACTAAAGCCAAACATGTCAGATTAACATAATTAAGAATTGACAGTGGAATCAACCAATCATCGTTTTGATTTACAATCAGTGAGAGCAATTTCACACTGAACTTGCATTTAACAGATATTTAGTTGGATGTTATTTTGAAGATATACTGAGCATCTACAAAGTATCTACAGTGGACCATCCAAATAGTGTTACCAGTATGTCTGTTACAACCCTCAAATAAAACGTATGATGTATTTTTCAAGCTTATAATGCACCTGTTTAATCTAGAGCAAATGTATAGTGAATTGCAGTTAGCTTACTCCTAAAATGCTAGCAGAAATTAGCATTCTCATAGAGGCTTTTTTTCCCTAATTTTTTTGCTAAACTGAAGGCTCTAATAGTCATGGTTCGCCACTGTTAATATCCCAGGCATATTGCACTCTAAGGTTTATTATTCAGTAATTACATGGAAAGCAATGCAAACTGGCTGAGATATTCTGAAGTTATAGCAGTGAGAAATGGAAGCCTGGACACATTGGCAGCTTCTGGCCAGTTAAGAGGTTGGTGAATCATTCACAGCAAGGTTCTTTAGAGAACCAAAGTGGCATAATACATTGTCACCTTTATTTTTAAGAGCATAGTCATGAGAGTAAGAAGCAAATAAATAGGAAGTAGTTTCGGCCACAGGGTACTTAACACTGTCTAACACAGTTTTGTGTATTTCCTGTTAAAAACCCACTTTATTCAACTCATCAGTTAATTACTAGATTTAGCAGGTGTTTAAGAGCAGAGAATTCACCACACTGTGCTACACTGTGGCCCTGCGGAACTAGAAGTGAGTATCTATGTTATAGAGAGTGGAGAGATGTTGGCCTGATGAATGTGGAGATAAGGGCTATGAACAGTGTCAGTGCTGGATGCGGGGGATGAAATATCAGTACCTGTCTTTGGTTTGGGTTTGTGGTGCTCCTCCTTCTCCATCTTCTCCTCACGCTCCTTCCAGCGGCGGACCTGCTCCTGACGCATCTTCAGGAACAGAGTCTTCTTCTGCTCTTCGTTTAGAGCGTCCAGCACATCCGGGTCAATGTACATGTCATTTAGGATCTGCTGCAGCATGGCTGGCTGTGTAGGTGGATTAGTCCCTCAGAACTCAAGGTAAAGTGTGTGTTCTGAAGGATGAGGGGGATGTGCCGTCCACACCCAACTACAGTTGTGGGCCCTGCTCCTGATCCCCGTTGCTCACCACACACACTCTCTCATCACTGAGCAGTGGCCAGTAGCTGGACAGGCTGTTGAGAAAATGACAGGTTACAACATCTGGAAACAATCCGCCCTCTCTGCCTCTTTTTTGTAGCCAGTTTTGCTGGCTTGCTTCGTCAGTTTATAGTATTGTGTCAAACTGTCCTCTTTTGCAGCTCTCTGACTTATAGACTCTGCTGTGTGTTCTCTTTCTTTTTCTGTTCTTTCTATCCATGTTGCTTTGTTTCTTTGTTTCTTTCTTTTCTGCTTCTTGTTATCCTTCTTTCCTTCTCTTTTGCTTATTTCTTTCTTTCTTTCTTGCTTGTTTCTGTTTTGGTTCTTGTCTTTGTCTCCTTCTCTTTCACTTCTTTCTCTTTTGCTTCTTGCTTTTTTCTGTCTTTTGCTTTTTTATTTACTCAGTTTCTTTTCTCCTTTCTTTTTTTGCTTTTTTCCTCTTTCCTTCTTTTTTGCTTTTCTTTCTTTCCCTTTTGCTTTTTGCTCTCTTTCTTTTTCTTTCTTTCTCTTTTGCTTCTTGCTGCTCTTTCTTTCTCTCTTTCTCCCTTTTGCTTCTGGCTGCTTTCTTTCACTCTTCTTTCTCTTTTGCTTCTTTATTTTTTTCTTTCTTTCTTTCTTTCTCCTACCTCACTGTCTTTCTCTCCGTCCCTGTTGAGCCTCTTCAGCAGTGCTCAGCTTCTTCTCTTCCGCCTTTAAGTCAGTATGAAGCTCCTCAGTACCATCACAAGTCAAACATGCTTTTTTTCCCCTCAGCTCTGTTCGCTTTAATGGGAGGAGATTCCTCAGGAATGGGGCTGCCCCCCCCTCTTTACAAACTCCCACGAGACATTTCTGTTCTATTTTAGCCTCATCTTTCTGTGGCTGTAACTCAACGACAGCAGTGTGACTAAATTAAGGAGCGAGCATTTACGGCAGGAAGACAACTGCAGTCCCCTCAGAACAGAAACATTTACAATGGCCACGACAGCAGCAGCAGAGGAGAGACAGAGGGAGGGATCTATCTCTCTCTCTCTCTCTCTCTCTCTGATATATATATATATATATATATATATATATGAGAGAGACAGAGAGAAAGAGAGAGAGACAAAGGCAGTGTGAGGGCTGTCAGTCTGATGGCACGCACACTGGACTGCAGTTAATCTGTGCTGAGGCAATAAAAGTGATGGGAGAGGAGAGAGAGAAAGCAGCAGTCAGGAAGGGGGGAAAAGAGTGGTTGAAGAAAGATTACAGTCGTACTCACAGTTGGGTGCGGACGGTCTACAGCAGGCTTTACTGACTGCAAGACTGAGAGCTGCTGTCCCTCTTGCCTTTGTGTATGACTTAGTTGATGACATCACAACATTCCATGCTCTCTCTCTCTCTCTCTCTCTCTCTCTCTCTCTCTCTGTCTCTCTGACTCACTCACTCTTCTGCTCTCTCAAAAAAAGCATAAACACACACATTTCCTCTGTTCCAATTACTCTGTTAGCTGGGGGGAGAACTCAGGAAGCAGCGTCCAGCTGTTGGCGCAGTGAACGAAGCAGCAGCATCCTGTTGAACAGAGCTGGAAGAGTGAGAGACTAAGTGGGGAGGAGGGGCAATAAACAGGAAGAAGCACAGAAAACTTCTCTCAAAAAGAAAGAAAGTAAAAAAAAAAAATACAGTCAAACAGCAGGAGCAGTGAGATCTTTTGGGGAACTCCCAAAATACAGTGGAGGGTGTTTTTTTTAGCACCACAGTTCATATGCTTTTCCTACAAATAAGGAACTGGGCATTTTTCATTGAAAAACTCCCCAATATATAGACTTACATATAATACACCCTGGAAAACAATACTAACACTTGCTCATTCCTGCTTAAATGCATTACTAATTGCCGTTCAGCACAGAAAAGACTGATATATGATTAAATGAACAGTATAAACATTCAGAGATTTTCTAGATTTTAAGAGTTGTTGGACCACTCTGACCAGCACCTCGTCAACTCAGTAATATTTTTCTTAAATTAAACACCAGGGGTCGCCCAAGAGCGAAAACTCAAATCCTCCACGATCTGAACAGAAGCAGAATTGCTTTATGCTGGTTTAAGCTTAGTAAATAGGAGTGAGAAAGCACACTGATGTTTAATATACGTTTCTGATGCATTCTGGCCTCATGAGAATTACTATTATAACTGTTACCACTGTCCTCAGTGTGATTAGTCAGTGTACTTCCCTACACACTACGCACATAGTGTGATACATAACAAAAACCTTCAGATACTTGATCCTTTTATTATAATTTCTTTATCTATGTTTATTTTTAATGTTCTATTAGAGTTTTGTATAACACTGACCATCTGACCATGACAAATTCACAATTTTTGATCAACAGCTCCATCTGCTGGTAAAAGATGGAGGTGCTGATCAAATGGGCGGAGAAAAAGTTGTTTTTAATGAAATGAAATCCAGTTGGAGGACTGGAAATATATTTCCAAAATTTCCACATACTTCAATTCTTGATCAGTTGCTATAAATTACATCAGTAATAAATTAACAAGCTGGTTAAAAAAAGCTCATTATCTATCCCCATATCCTTGCAGTTATGGTGGGCAAATGCATTTATAAAATAGACAATCAGCTTAACATGTTACATATAGTGTTGTGTAAAAGACAGAGGACAGATATTTTTCAGGAGATATTTATGATGAGATTAGCTATAAGATAATCAACCTGCATCAGGATGGAAAAAGTCAAGGGAAAATAAGTGGGGGAAGAAACAAAGGTAACACCTTATTTGCTGCTGAGGTCTGGACTCTGGGGTGGCCAGTGCATCATGTTCCTCTCACAGTGGAAAAATGGACAGAAACAGCTGTGGATTTTTTTCAGATCTGAAGAGTGGAGTGAAGATTTTCTCCTCTCTCTCAAAGATGAAAGCTTTAAGTGCTGTTTATCTGATGGTGACAATTTTTGTGTCTACAAGGTCTTGCACGGTTGTCAGGAGTCTTATTTTTCTCTATATCTTGATATTATTTATTGAACTCCCCTTTTGGAAACTCCTATTTCACTTTTTCTCCATTGACTTCCCCCTTCCATATGAAAGTGAAAATCTCATCTCCTCTGAAACGTCTCCTGAATGAAGGGCCGTTTTGTCTAGAAATTCAATGAAGGGTGGTCTGTGACTTTTGCACAGTACTGGATGAATATTACACATGACAGCTACCCACTACTGAGGTGTGATGCAATAGTCCTTTACCATTTTTTTGTAGCATTTTCATGAGAATATGAACTTTTATCAAATGCTCAAATATTATGGTAATCTGTAGACAGTGTGAGAACACAAATTATCATAAGAATATTATATCTACTCAAATTAGCATTATCACATTATTTCTATAGCTGCAAAAGCTTAAAAGGTAAATTGCCTGTATTCTACAAATATCTTGGTTTAGCTTTTCAACACAGACAAGACCGATATATGACAATGCAATATATATACAACTAGAAATGTCCAGAGGACTAAAGTTGTTGGACGTCTCTGACCAGCAGCTTTTCTACTCAATGATCTGCTATTCTGTAATAAATCTGTAGATCACAGCACTATGTTGATTTTTACCTGCTTGAACCCACTTGACTCAGTTGACAAATGGCCTGTTAATGAACTAAGGAATGAAAAAAATGTGTTAGAGCAGGTGTTTAGTGAGGAACACTGAGAAACATCAGCTTACAAAATGTAAAAAATAAACTTCAAGGGGTTTGCAATTATTGGTAAATGCAATGAGTATTTAGCTCATATCTCTTGTTATCTCTTATCTGAAATAATGAGAGGAAAATATACAAATCTGTTGTTTGATTAAACACATATCCAATACATTACAATATATTTGCCTATTATTCTGAAATTTGTATGAGTCGGATTACAAAACATCTCCTTTGGTCAATACAAAATTGCAGCGTGTTCAGTTGGAGACAACACAAAATGTGTTGAAGTATTTCTGCACCCAGTTATGGATAACACAGTTTGGGTAACTTAACACAGAATGTGTTAAATCAGCAAACAATACGGCACAAAAAGTGTTAAAACGGGTGACACTAGCGTGTTGTTATTTGACACATCACTTTTTTCGAGTGTAATTGCATTAATAACTGCTGTCCACTAGATGGCAGGCCCCTCAACACAGTGGAAGAGAAAAGCTCCAGTCTATGTGTCTGGCACACTGGCTGTGTAGACATGGCATACAGTTTTAGCCTTATGCTTGAAGACTCGAGCTTATTCCCAACCCGAGTGTAACAAGCATGGCACCACAGCGGTCACAGGCAAAAAGTACAAAACACCGGACAATGACGGAGGAAGCGTTTCCCACACTTTTGGCCGCAGCTTTGATCCAGGCTCTAGGAGAAAGTGACAGAGTCAGACCTTTGGAAGAGGTCAGCAGACGTCTTGCAGCACCAACATAAGCAATGAAAATGCAGTTGAAGCAATAAAGGAAAGCTGATCATTGACAATAATAATAAGAGACCATCTAACTAAACACATACCTATTATGCTTGATTCATTTGGTTATGAAGCAGAGACTGTGACAGTTATTTGGACAGTTGCAGCTTAACTATGATGGAAAAAGAGCCTGCAGCAGAAGTGAAAGTATGCAACTGTGAACTGGTTTCAATTCACAGTAATTCCTAATAATGCGGTTTCCATCAGAGGCCTGGGATTACACACAAATACTACACTGTAAAAAGTGGGACACGGCCAAAGTTGATCTGACGTGTTTGAGGTTTGAACCGATGTACAATATTGCTTTTGTTCATCTAAAATTTTGCTTTGCAGTGTTTCATTGCAAGTATTTATTTGAGTTGAATAAAACCAGTTAAAGTGCTTGTTACTACATGAAGGACTGTTTTAGGTTGAACTGACAAACCATTTTTTACAGTGTAACATTACAGTTGCAAACAAACAAACACGGACAAATATTTAAATACAAATGACCAGAGTTGATTACAGATTAGTATGTGATCAATTACCAATGTACTACTTGAAATGGGCAATCTCAGGTTTTCAGGTTATTCTAAAGTATGACTTGAATAAAAGTAGAATAAAAGCAGTTGGATGAAGAAATAAAATTAAACAAAAAGACTTCATTCAAAAATGTAAAGAATAAAATAAATAAATAAAATAATGGTAATTTCATCAGATGAAACTGGAAATTCTGTGGAGGACAAAGCCACAAATTAAATTATTACTTGTTTGCAGAATCAGGACATTCATTCAAATGTTTACTTAGAGTTTGTTGTGGAGTTTGTTTACAATTTTAATCTGCATTAATCTGAGAATAAACTATACTGATCTTGCAGCTAACTTGAGTTCAGCAAACAGAAGCCTAATGAAATAAACTGAACCGGGTCATTTTCGGAATGTTTTCAAAATTCAAGTGAGTAACAGTGATTTTACAGCATTAATCCAGGTTGTTTCATTTGCTGACATTTGATCTTGTATTCGGAGAAAACTAAACATTTAATGAGTTTCATATCTCTGCAGTGCCAAACTCTTGACTTGGCAAAAAGGGAAAACAAAGGCAAATGACTTACAGAAACGAATATTAATTTAGAAGGAACGCTTAAGTTTGCACAGAATTTCAAAGCCATTATTCAGACAGAATTTTGATAGGGGGGAAAAAAAACAAAATCAAGAAAAGTCACAATATTGCACTTAGTCTGTCCTTAACTATGAAACAATACAATCATAAGCAACTGTATTTAACTGCATTCAGTTCTAGGTTTGTTAGGTTTGAGGATACCGGCCTTTTACAATTAGGCATCAACATTATCATGTAATAAAGGAATTATTATTTAAAAAAAAAAAAAAGAAGAAGAAGAAGAAGAAATAAAACTTTATGGTTGCTTTGCATTTAAAATACTGGAACCTGTTCTGGCCAGACACATTTTAGACACCATCTTTAATGTGCAACTTGAGTGAAAACCAAAAGAGGCAGAGTAAAC